ATCTCAAAAGATGAATTAGATGAATGTTTTGAAAAATGGAATAAAAGACTAGACAAGTGTATTAGTGTAAGTGGAGAGTACTTTGAAGGGGATTGAAGGTTTGTGCTTAAAGTTTGAATAAATAAGTTTAAAAAAAAATAAGTTCGGTTTCTTTTGGGTACCCCCTCGTACATATCTAGCAGACTATATGGCAGCACATCCCAGAAGACAGTAGACGTGTTCCTACAACTGAAAATACAGCAACCTCATCATTTACTTTTATCCATTCTGGAACCCAAGTTTCCATTTATAGTATGTTCTCAGATATGTGAATTTGCATCTTGAAAGAAATCCCTATTAACATACAAATTGTGGTCTTATTTCTTTCAGGATCGTGATGCTCTTGTGGACCTGATGTTAGATTTTGTCGAAGCTATGAATCCAGAAGTGAAATTTAAACGTGAGTTTTCTGTCCTAAAAGACCGTGACTTGACTGGTGAACTGAAAGACATCTGGTTGGCCATCCAAGTAAAACGAGAGAGGGAAAAGGAAAAAACAGAAAATGGAAAGAAATCAGAAACAGGAGACAGAGAAAAACGTAAGGAAGGAAGGGATGAAGATTCAGACAAGCAGAGAAAAGTAAAAATCATTGATCAAGACAAGGAGAAAGGCAAATGCACAGAAGCATTTCCTACATGGTTTGCAATGGAGCAGGAACAAACCGTAGAGAAAGGAAATAGAGAAGGAACAGAATTTGTAGAGCTAAAAACTTCAGCACTTCTAAGTAATAATATCCACACCAAACGAGACCAAGAAAGCAAGAAGAAATGCGTCAGTTCCTGCGAAGGCAATGAGGAGGAGGTTATTATATGTTCATTCAAAACAGATGTCAGGAAACTAGGAGACATTGCAGTCAGACACATAAACTCAATGTGTGATGCCTGTGAAGTTCCAGTTACCCAGTCCGGAGATTCCAGGAGCTCCCCAACTCATAAGCAAAAAAACAAGATGAGGTCTTGTAAGAGTGAATTGTTTACTCAGACAGTACAACATTCTGATGAGATTAATAATGGAAAAGCAGAAGGGTCTGGTTCAGACATTCCTTGTGTAAATGAGATTGGCATTATTACAAAACACACGGTGTTCAAAGAAATATGTCCGTCGTCTTCTGATTCTTCAGAAGATGAGGAGAGAGGAGAATTCAGATTGAACAGTTTGAATAAGGTTATAGACAACGAAACTGATTCAAAACAAATTGTTGGTTTGCTCCAGGATGTCGGAATGTCTGATGTAAGTCAGAGTTTGGATAACATAGATATTGATATCTATACTAATGACAGTGCTGTAAATGCAAATGAATTGAGCTCAGGTTTAGAGCCGTGCAGTTCTCAAAAGGCAGTTTGTGTGGAAGATGCATGTACTTATGGAAGCACAGATTTGAAAAGCAGTTATGTGAAACATTGTAAATTCTTATGCATGAAATACTCTGCTATTAAAAATTCGACTAACAAGCATCAGTCAGGCAAACAAAATGTTCATGTAGCCAGTAAATTTAAGGGCCCTGAATCTTGTGAAAGCTGTCTGGCTCATGCAGGAAGATTTAAGGTTTTAGTTCCTAAAGATTGAGGTTAGACATACTACTGTATAATAACATGAAACTCAACACTGGTGATAAATTACAAAATACCTTTAATTATAAAGTCCATTGTTATTATCCACAGTGCTAGATGCAGATTTCGTAATTGCAGTGTATTTAATATCCTGATCTCTTTACTGTAACTAGGTATTTTTTGTTTGTGATGCATATAAGTTTTTTTTAATTGATGATAATTTTCAAGAGACTACATTTTGAGAGTTGTGTTTGTTATTTTATATACATGTCACGCCCAAGTTTTTGAGATTTCCTATATTTTTTTATTAATTTCCTTCTTTCTTTCTGTGATGTTAGAATGCAAGGAAAAGCATTCCATCATAAACAGAAGGCAGAAAATTTTGCTGATACTGAAATTTTTTGTTTTAAAGGCTAGTGAGTTAAAGAGAAGGTATTGTATGTTTTAAGGAAATGAAAGATCTAATCTGGATAGCTGATACTCGTCCTATAAATCCAGCCAAGTTTTTTAAGTTTAAAATGATATATTGTTCCGGCCCTTGTGGAACATATGACTGCAATGGAAACGTTGCCATATTTATTACCTGAAATATTAGTAACTCTGCCAGACTACATGGCACCACATACTACAAGACTGTACTCTTCATTCCATTATATATGCATATGAAGACATTTTTTATTTAAAATTTCATATTAAGCTCCTGATATTAGTTCAAAGTTGTGATATACTTAAAAAAGTTGTAGCTTAATTTTTTATTGTAAATGTGCCATTTTTGTCTGTTTACATTGTGTATGATTAAAGCATTGATTCAACCACGCTTCTTCTGTCATTACTGGGTAAATTAAGCATCTCCCAACCAATATTACTGCACTAAAATCCAAGATGTACCTGAGTCACATATCTCACTGGAACTATATAGATAACATTAAGGGGCAAAGGGTGTAGGTAAGAAGTGAAGGACAAGGCGACGCTCATTATGAAGGGAGTTATTTGCCAGTGCAGAAAATATTGCTGCTGTGATTGTGCACACAGTTCAGGTGCTGTGCTCAGAAGTACTGACACCCAGAGTCACCTGGAAGTTGAACCAAAGATGATGTAATTTCTTAAATATATCTTGAACTTTGTCTCCTCCAAATACAAACTTGAAAAGTGACTGTGTTTTATTTGGATATATTCTAAATTCCTGGGTATTTTACAAAGTGCTGCCTGAAAATGTAATTATTTATGGAAACTATTTTCTTTTCTTTAATGTTTCAGCAGAAAACTTCAATTAAACGTCTCCAAAGCGGATTTATGTGGATAATTATTGTGTTTATGAATTAGTTACATTTTGTTCTGCAGATGTGTAAGAATTAAATTAATCTTCCAAAATTGGAGTCTGTGTTGTAATTAGGAGTGTGCTAAATTTAGACTAATAGAGGGCCTTTAGGCCCAATTTGTCAAGATAGAAGAAGAAAGGGCACTTAATGCTGCACACCTCGTCATATAAAAATATTAGCATAACCCATTCTTGTGTTGACCAATTTCATCTTATTTATGTGCCACACTATGTATCAATTTCTCCAACTCCAAATTTAGAAATAAACACAGTAAACCCTAGTTATTACAAACTTGCAGGGAGAACAGGGTGTCCATTATCACTGATGCCTGCTGTAACCATGTGAAGGAATATTCACAAAAGTACACTATAACATACATAGCCAATACACACAATGTGATTAATAACCACTTTTTAAAAAAGGAGAGAGAAAATGCATCTCTAATTACAGACCAATATCCATATTGACTTCATTCTCAAAAGTCTTTGAAAAAGTTATGTATAATAGACTACTTGAACACTTAAATTCTAACAACATACTAGTCAAAGAGCAATTTGGATTTAGGAAAGACCTAACAACAGAAAAAGCAACCTATGAACTAACTAACGATATTTTAAGTGCTCTCAATGACAGATTAATTGTGGGAGGGATTTTCTGTGATCTAGCAAAAGCTTTCGATTGTGTTAATCATGATATCTTACTATCGAAATTAAATTTCTATGGAATAACTGGCAAAGCTAATGAATGGATCAAATCATACCTCAAAAACAGGTATCAAAGAGTTGAAATAAATAATAAAAACTCCAGTCATAATGCATTTTCAAACTGGGGAATTATAAAGCACGGTGTTCCACAAGGATCAATTTTAGGTCCCTTACTTTTTCTTCTCTACATAAATGATCTATCTAAAACCATCAACAATAAATCTAAACCAATTCTATATGCAGATGACACTAGTATAATATTTAAGAACTCTAAATTTGAAAACTTTAAAAATGACATAAATATTGTATTTGAAGCCTTAAACAGATGGTTCGAAGCCAATTTACTCTCATTAAATTTTGATAAAACCCATTACATATCATTCACAACTAAAAACAACCACCAAATTGATCTGGACATCAGTTATGCCAACAAATTAATCTGTAAAGTACTTGATACAAAATTCCTTGGAATACATGTAGACAGTACACTGTCTTGGAAAATACATATTGAACAAATTATACCTAAATTAAATGCAGCTTGCTATGCGATGAGATCAATTAAGCCTTTTATGTCACAGGAAACATTGAAGATGGTTTACCATGCCTACTTTCATTCTATTATGAACTATGGATTAATATTTTGGGGGAACTCTTCACATAGTGTAATAATTTTTAAAATACAAAAGAATATAATTAGAATCATTACAGGATGTAGAAGTAGAGATTCATGTAGAGAATTATTTAAGAAATTAAAAATTCTACCTCTTCAATCGCAATACATATTATCGCTTCTCTTATTTGTTGTTTACAACAAAGATAAATTCAAATTAAATTCTGATGTCTATAACATGAATACTAGACAAAAATATAACTTCCACCTACCCTCATCAACTTTATCAGTATATCAAAAAGGAGTCTACTTTACTGGCATAAAAGTGTTCAACAATCTGCCACAAAGTATTAAAAACTTGGGCAATGATACTAAAAAGTTTAAATCAGAGTTAAAGAATTATCTACATGCTCATTCCTTCTACTCTTTAGATGAATACTTCAATGTAAATAGAGAATGATGTAAAATTAAGTTATATTAATTTTTAAGCTAAAATTGCCTGTACTTATTTATGTAACCTTTTGACTTATTCTGTATCCAAAGGTACTAACCTACTTAGGATTTACAGAATGTAAATAAATTCAATTCAATTCAATTCAATTATACCTACAAAATCTTCTTAGTACCTCCTCATCTCTAAAAATTCGTAATTGAATGTAATCAGATGTAATCATATCTGGGTCCATTGTAGAAAGGGTTTATTCTATTTTGCTTTTCTTATAATCTGCCTTAAGGATTGCTGTATGGGTGTGAAACTTGGTCTCTGACATTAAGGGAGGAACATAGACTGAGGGTGTTTGAGAACAGGGTGTTGACGAGAATATTTGGACCAAAGGGAGATGAAGTCACAGGAGGTTGGAGAAAACTGCACAATGAGGAGCTTCATAACTTGTACTCTTCTCCAAGTATAATTAGAATGATCAAGTCAAGGAGGATGAGGTGGGCAGGTCATGTAGCACAAATAGGGGAGACAAGGAATGCGTATAGGATATTGGTGGGAAAGCCAGAAGGAAAGAGACCACAGGGAAGGTGGGTGGACAATATCAGAATGGATCTTAGAGAGATAGGATGGGATGGTATGGATTGGATAGATCTGGCTCAGGGTAGGGACCAGTGGAGGGCTCTTGTGAACACGGTGATGAACCTTCAGGTTCCATAAAATGCTGGGAAATTCTTTAGTAGCTGCAGAATTTGCGGCTCCTCCATAAGGGCTCAGCTCCATAAGTGAGTAAGTAAGTAAGTAAATATGCGTGGAATATTTATCTCTTTATCCTGTAACATAGCATAAAGAAATGGGACTACTTATAAACAGTAAATGAGGAGGAGTATACTAATTGTATCGGATTATAAGTCATAAAAATAATGGAGATCATTAAAGAAAAAAATTCTTCTCTGCCAAATTTTCATCAGTGCATTAGACGCCTATCTCTGTTAGGTGCTGGTCCAGTTCTCCACCTACTTCTCTCAGGAAGTGTTTGTGTGAAAGATTTATTAAATTTTGTCATGCATAGGGCGGTACCCGTAACGAGAATGACAGATTCTAGTCTGGATGATTGGATTTATTAGCGTTTTGGTTACAATCTCTCTTAATCACAAAAAATAACGCTATCGCTGATACACACAATTTACAATTTTCTGTTGCACATGCACTAGTCATCTCCTAGCAACGAATCTCAACACAGACACTATCACTTCAAATCACTATGAAGGCTTCTTGTCTCCAGTCACTCTGTACTCCTCTGTCCTAATCTGTACTCCATCTTCACAATTTGCGCTCCATTCTCGCCCTTGTACTCTCAACTGCAGAACCCTCTTGGGCTCTCCACATTAATCTTCTCAGTCTATTTCCGCTAGCCTTCACCAGTTCAAATTCACTCACTCGCCTGCTACCGTCACTGTTATTTCTCTCTGGCAGCTCAAGTCGAAGTCACATTGTGACTGACGACCAGTCAGTCAGTAAGTCTTGGTGTCGAGCACCCTCCTGGGGCTCATGGCCAGATATTTATTACTGTTTGACAGTTACAGTCTCGTTTTTTTTTGGGCGCCCTCTCTGACAAGAGGACGGGTCTGTCTTTTGTACATGCTGCTGGTCTTTGCCAGCGCAGTCTTTCTTGGGTCTGAGTCCCTTGGTACTTGAGACCATATATTACTGTCTCAAATTTGAGACTTCCCATTTCGTTGACTCCTACGACTCGCATGGTCACGGTGGAGGTATTCAACCACGCCGCCTCTGGCAGCTCAAGAATTCTGCTCAGTTATATAACCGAGGGATGGACATCGACCAACAGTAAACGCATATCAGGTAACCCCTACCAACTACTGCTGTGTGACATCATTGCACATGCGCATCTGACACACACAGGAAACATATGTCATGTGACAGCCACCTACTGATGTGTGATGTCACCACTCCTGTACCAGCCACTGGGCACATGGAAACAGCTTGCTCTACTGTCGCATGCATGTAAACTCTTGCCTGGCAACACCACCGTATGTATCTTGGTATCATTTAGCTGTGTCCATCTGCAAGATGAGTTCCGTCTCTTCGTATCAAACGTGTGCATTTTGTAACTAGTACGCATTATACTTCATGGTTTTTACTACTTCATTATCAATATGGAATATAACGGTTGAAATGTCTGATATTAAAGATAAAATTAAGTTGACTATTGCCCTCTTCTTGCTATAGGCCATAATGATGCTGATTGTATTATATTTTGCTTGTTTTTCTTCTTCTGTCTGGTATGTTTTTGTTAGTTTGTGGTTTTGTTTGAACAAGTTGAGCATATCTTTGCTTTAGCCGTTTCCTCCAATGAGGAATGTCCAATGAATCAAACATACTTGAATTTCACACCATTGCCACTTGTGGGTACTACTATTTTTTTTTAATTCGCTTCGTGGGGGGTGGAGCCCAATTGGGTCCACTCGGCACAGCGGCCCCTGATGATTATGATGATGGAGAATTTGGTGGAATGAAGATTGGCAGGGGAAACCGAAGTCCTCGGAGAAAACCCGCCCCAGCGCCACTGTGTCCACCACAAATCCCACTTGACCGGTCCCGGGATCGAACCCGGGCCGCCGCGGTGTAAAGCCAGCGACTAACCGCTTGAGCTATGGCGTGGTCTTGTGGTTACTACTAACATTGCACTTACTAATACGTGCTTGCAATAGCATGCAGTCTTAACACTTGGGTACATATTAGTTTCTCCAAAACATCTCTGAGGGTGCATCAAAAAGTGGGTAGACAATATTATGGAAGAAAAGGCCTGTGTGTTCAATGATATCTTCTGCGTGACAGGTTAGGTTCTCATCGTATGTTGACAACACAATCTAGTAACTTTATGATGATGACGCAATGAGCTACATGACTACATAATGATGATGCCCGCCAAATATGTTTCAGATAACAGATGAAGATGCCTGTTTTTGTCGCATCGCTTGGAATGGCATAGCGTAGCAGGCTGTGTGAACATACACCACCAGTAGACTTTGTAAATAGATGTGGCCAATGTATACTTTTTTTTTGTTTCGGTTATAACTTTTAAGATCCCTGTCCTCTTGACTCCAGAATCAAAATTCATTCGATCCCGCCCGTAGCCAATCGCTATACCGACCGATAACGATCTATGATGCACTGCCATCTATACAGCACTACTCCAGAACATTCAGTCTTTTGCAGGTGGATGGGCACATTACTCAGAAAACTAAAATAAAATGTTAATAAAGTGGGCAATACGAGTATGTACAATTTTTAAGCGCACTTGAGAAACTTATTGCTCACACACATTAAAAGGAATCATCGATCTATATATAAAAATAACTTAACCACCCATGATCCGAAGTTTCCGTAGTGTAGCGGTTATCACGTGCGCCTCACACGCGCAAGGTCCCCGGTTCGATCCCGGGCGGAAACATAATTTTATTTTACACGTGACAAAAATGTAATGTTTATAAGATCAACGAATTGAGGTAAATTTGATTTATTTCATTCTGTTTCGTCACACTAACAATTACAAAGACAAAACAACTCTGTCCAGTGTGACTATTGAAGTTTTTACTACTTCAAAACTTAGCACCCTTACATGTTTCAGTCCCTATAGACCATCATCAGAGGGACATCGATGCTTTTTTGGAAACTACTATCACAATGGGTGTTTTGGGTGTTAAAATACATTTACATACAATGTTTGTAATGCACAATATATACAAAGTCCAACTTTTTCACAACTACAACAGCTTTCTTGGTATATTAAAGTTTTTAAAACTTTGTTATTTAAGTTAAAATTTATAAACTAAATAGGTTCATGTCCCTTCTCCTATTGTCTTTCTTGATGGGGGCTGAACTTGTGCCGCCTGTCTCTCTTGAGAAGGAAATTCTTGGTATTATCCTTTGTTTGTTCATGGCATGCTGTGTTGTTTTCACTTTCCAAAAAAGTATCGATGTCCCTCTGCTGATGGTCTATAGGGACCGAAACATGTAAGGGTGCTTAAGTTTTCAAGTAGTAAAAACTTCAATAGTCACACAGGACGGAGTTGTTTTGTCTTTGGAATTGAGATAAATTTGTTCCGGCGATTAACTAATTAATAAATCATTATGGCATGACATACTAGGGAGTGGACATATGGCTGTATTATTCTCGACCTTGGCACCAAATTCAGGTGAGCGATCATTTCCACCCTTCCGGAATACTTCCGGAATAGGTTTTGGGTGCACTTCAGGAGGTGGGGAGGATCATATACTGTTGCAATTTCTTGATTATGAAATCTGAAGAGTGGTTTCCTTTTGGAAGCCCAACAGTTTCAAGGCCTTGACATTGTTGGCCCCCATGTCACACACAGTGGCAACAACCTTCAGTCCAGCATTCTGACAGGCATCAAGAACCTTCTTCAAGTACTGCACAGTCATATCTGCCTTAGTGCTTCATGAGTAAAGTAGTAAGCTACTGGTTGCTTCCACTTTCCACATGGGCCATGGATCATGAAAACTAGAGCATGATTTGCAATATTGCATGTCCTGCCCTGTCTTCCACATTCCTCAAAACCCTCAATGCAGTCAAATTTATGGTTGAAATGCAAGTTCTCCCTGATTGACATTTTGTCAAACATAAGAGAACAGTAGCGATTTCTACCAGAAATTTTCTGCAGAGACTGTTGGAGTGCATGAAATACATGAGCATTGATGCCTGTTCTAAATGGAACAGTATTCAGGACAGACTGCAAAGATTGTCTGGATGGGAGGGGGAGCAGTGAACGAAGAAGGATATAGGATTTAGGGCTACGTATAAGGAGAGACAGGGCCAACAATTTTTCATCAAAATTCCACCTCATGCCCTTAGGCTTCTGTCTAACGTTCTGGAACACTGCTGCCAAAAATCTGGTAGCCTCTAAACTGAAAGAAGATGAAAGACTCTGCATCAGTGTGTGTAGATTCTACATCCAAATATAGAGGCAGTAGTTACCGTAGTCACCATGTTTCCCTTACTCCTATCCCAGTTTGATCCCCTTGCAGGATAGGGACCAATAGAGGATTTTTATGAATACAGTTTTGAATCCTCAGGTTCCATAAAATGCTAGTTCTTGAGTACCTACACAATTGGCGGCTTCTGAAGAGGGGCTGTGTGAAAAAAGCAGTCTTCTGGGATGTGGCGCCGTGTAGATATTGTGTTAAACGCGTTGCTTCCTCGCTAGCTGATTATCTTCTTTTTTTATACTAGCCTGAAGATGGAGGTGATACGTTCCTCCGAAACGTCGGTTAACACTAAAACTACACGACGCCACATTCCAGAAGACGGCTATCTCTAGAGTCATCGCAGTGAAAAACTAGAAGTCCTTGATGTATATACATTATCAGCAACTTAGAGCGTGTAGCAGAGTGGCGCAGTGGAAGCGTGCTGGGCCCATAACCCAGAGGTCCGTGGATCGAAACCACGCTCTGCTAATAATTTTAAACTCATGTTTATTATTATTTTAATAATTAAGTTTATTTTCGTTGCATTTCATGGCAGTGTTACATTATACGTTTATTTTATTTATAAACAGAATTTTGTAACGCACATTCTGTGTTACGAAGTTTATAAGCGTTGGTGAAATGTAGTGCAGGGAAAGCGTGCTAGGTCAGAAATCCACAAATCAGTATAACACTATATGACACTTATAGTGTAAATATACATGAATCTAAAATACTGTGCTGTAGTATTTAATATTCAAATTTGATAAATTAATACCTCTCATTTACAAACATAAATATTTTGATTTTCTTTTTTCTTCATTTAATCATAAATACGCTATAGGAAAGCAAAACTGAAAAGTAAAATTACCTTCCTCCATATTTCAATATTTGAATGTAAATTTAATTCTTATATTGTCAATGTCTTCACAGCAAAATTATCAGGAATATGTTATTACTGACGACGGCAACAACAACAACAACAAAAGAAACAGCAATGTTCTCTTGTTGTTGTTGTGATAGAAATAACATATTGAGCTGCTGAAACCTTTTCTTTATCACTGGAAAACATCTGAGTTTGCAGACTCGGTAGGCATATTTCTGTGTTCGTAGTGCACGAAATGCCTAAGCAGGGTGGGCGCATTTACTGAGGGCATACTTGGACTGTAAAAGCGGGTTTAATTTGATGTGCATATCACGAATCTTTCCTTGCGTACTGAGGTGTGTTCCTCGTTTCCATTTGCAGTGACTCAGAACTTTAGTACATTACTTAAGGAGGTTGTTGGGGAGATCAGTTGTAGCTGAAACTGCAAATAAAGTTTTCTTCAGGTTCGCTTCCGTTTCAGAGTCACGTGTTCATGATGATGCCGCTTTCTATTACTCTGATCGCTAGGCGGGAAATCCGGGCGCATATATCGAAGAAGCAGAACGAGAAGAGCCGTTACCGGACTCGACCAGCAGGACTGGTAAAAGGCGCCCCCAAAAAATAGATTTAATAATGTGGAGTTTGAGGTCGCAGGTTCGATTCCTCATGAGGTCATTGAATTTTTCAATTGACCTAATCCTTCCAGCCGCACTATGGCCCTGGGGTTGACTCAGCCTCTGACAGAAATGAGTACCAGGCATCTTCCGCCGTCGGCGGGTAAGGCTGACAAACTCACCGCCATCTGTGAGCTGACTGTCTGGAAAATGTGGGTGCCTCGACGTCTCACAACCCTATGGGCCTCCATGGCCTCTTACAGGAATAGTTTTGCATTTTAATACAGGATCGCCTCGGTGGAGGGCACTGAGACGATTTACGTGAAGAAACGCTGCTACTTTTACTGGAGGATAGCTTGTAACCGCTCATATACTTGGAAGCTCATACTTATTAGAAAATATTGTATTTAAACTACACACACACACACACACACACACATGGAGCTGAGTCCTTCTTGAGGAGCCGCCAATTCTACAGCTACTCAAGAATTTCCCAGTGATTTATGGAATCCGAATGTTCATTACCGTGTTCACAAGATCCCTCCACTGGTCCCTATCCTGAGTCAGATCAATCCAATCCATGTCATCCCAGCCTGTCTCTCTAAGATCCACTTTAATATTGTTCACCCACCTACGCCTTGGTCTTCCCAGTGATCTGTTTCCTTCTGGCTTTCCCACCAATATCCTATCTGCATTCTTCTTCTCCCCCATTCGTGCTACATGCCATGCCCACCTCATTCTCCTTGACTTGATCGACGGGGAAAGAGCTCTTGGTAAGCTTGGACCGAAGACTGACTGGGCACCTCATCCGGTCTGGACACAGCAGTAGACAGAGTAGTCTCATAGCTCTACCTGGACTCTAACCCCAGCCCCTCGGTCATTCAGCCCGTAGACTGGTCATTATACATCCAGAGCTATCCCGGCTTCAACAGAGTATTTGTATCTGCAATGAATTACCACGAAGTTAGTGTGACATACAGAATGGTAAGGAACATGACTTCCTCAGCCTGTAGCCAGACAAGTTCCGGACCAGGGGCGGAGCCCCAAAATTAAAGACTCAGAATGTGATAACGTTCTACCTGTCAAGGGCTACGTCATACGTCGGGGAGTGGGGGCATTGAGAGATGAATATTGTCACATGTAGTATGTGACTATAGAAGGGGTGTGGCTCGATTGACACTCCACTCGTAACTACAAGAAATTATAACACTATCGCTGATTTCCACACTCTACAAATCACTACACGCTAAGTCATCTCCAGCCTGCTACTAGACGTCTCCTGGCAATGGTTTCTAAAATGACTATTCCTCTACAGTGTTTTCACTAGATGTACCATGGTAACGGATATTAACAATGGCTATTTCTCTACTTCCATGCTCAAGTCCCTTACAGAACTGAATGCCAGCTTCCAACTGCTCCATTTCTTTTCCTTATAAGTCCTTGGTGCGGATCGTATAGACAACAAACCATTTCCTCTGTTGCATGCGTAACCGTTGCCGCGGGAACGTGTTTGCCCAGCCGTTGCCCAGAAATGGGTCTTGATATAAACGCCCGTCTCACGAACGTTGCATAGCAACGGCTGTGCGCTACAATATAAAACAATTGTGGAATGATTCTTAGCAGGGTAAAACCGAAGATGCTCGGAGAAAACTTTGCTCCAACGGCATTTGGTCCACCTCGAATGTCACTTGAAGTCACCCAGGATGGAACCCAAGGCCCTGCGGTGAGAAGCTGACTGGAGTACCAAGTATTTTCATTCTTGTTACCCGTAGCCCTGCTGCTGGCTTTAGGCTGTTCATACTCTCAGCTTCTGTGAATAAACTTTTACACTGGGCACAACGGCGCGTGTGTATGTCGGAATGTTAAGACAGGATCAATGACGTCATGAGTCCAGGTGCAACTGTACCGGGAAGACGGCCAAGACTCTCGGAGAAACGAAGCGAGGGAGTCGAGATCCCTCGGAATTCAAATGTGCTGTTTAGTTCACAGCGAGTCATTTTCACCGACTGGCGCTAATAGTGCCCTGTCCCTTCGTGTACATTTCGTGGTCTTCCTCACTCCTTACAGGTAAATTGCGGATAGTTTTCTTAAAGCAGGTCCACGACCACTTTCTTCCACGCCCTTTCCTATGCATTACTATCGTCGAATTATTCAACACTATATAGCCTGAGCTACCGGCGGCATCACTGAATAAAGTACAAATAACGCAATGAATACAATTCAGGATAATCACTTCTGACGTGAAGATGGAAACGTCATGTCCCTCCTAAACGAAGGCGCCCATCTTCCAGCGAAAATAACCCAGCAGGCCTCAATATATTCATGATCTATGCTAACCGTCTTACAGTGCATACACTTTTCTCACCTTACTCTTCCCTTTTTGCACCACATGTTTCAGCGCCAATGTGCCATCCTCAGGTGCGCCCTCTCTATGCATGTCCAACTACTGCATTGCATACCCCGATGTCCGCACAATAAAATGACCAAAACACACACTCGTCACATACAACAACAGATCCTTGGTCATTTTAGTGTGGGGACATCAAGGCATGCAATGCAGTAGTTGGACGTGCATAGAGAGGGCGCACCTGAGGATGGCACATTGGTGCTGAAACATGTGGTGCAAAAGAGAAGAGTAAGGTGAGAAAAGTGTATGCACTGTAAGACGGTTAGCATAGATCATGGACATGAGTCAGTGCAGCGGGACGCTAAAATATAACATTCTCAATATATTCGCTAAGTAACGGGAATTCTCATGAAAAATATCGTCACAGGTAGGAGTACCACTATAGAAGGGGTATGGATTGGATATTGAATTTCTAAAGTTGTTGCTGTGCTTAACTTATTAAGCAATATGCCATGAAGGTGTAGAGGGGAGTGGGTGTGTAGTTAGTAAGTTATTGGAGAGGGTCGGTTTCCGCATGCACTTAGACCAGTATTGGTCCATTGTGCTTCCCTCTATGATATTCTACCAGTCTCTATACCCTACCGATATTGGTGCGTACCAACAGTCCCGACTGAGCCAGCGAGTTTGGCCTCTACTGGCTTGGCGGTATCTATAATGCTTCCCCCATCTATCAGAGGCGTTAGAGACTACTGTTGGACGGGAAACGTCCTTGAATTTGGCTCAGTTGAAGTTCTTTTACGTGCCGTAAAGCTACGACACGGGACCCACGGCTTAAAGTCCCTCCCGGAGGACTTGTTCCCCGAATTTTTCCGCCCTTAAAAATTCCACGACCTCCGCCGGGTTTGAACCCGCGTACCACGAGTCATGAGGTGGGAACGTTACCTCTAGACTACGGAGGCCAATGAGTGGGTGTGTAGATCCATATTTTATTGACCCCGGCACTAGCTGGGAGTGAGTGGTCAGCTTCACGCCCCGGCCGCTTTACCCCCAAAGAAACAGCCTCCGGTACCCATTGAATAGGAGGTTGGGTCAACCCCAGAGCCGGTCCGCACGACGTTGAGAAGAGAAAATTCTTGGCCCTACCGGGACTCGAACTTCGATCCCTCAGTCGTCCAGCCAGTCGCCATACCGGCTCTTGTTGACCAATTTATGCACACCATTCGGAACTACAAATGCCTATGATACTATCGCTATTTCCACACTTTACAGTTTACTGTTACACACACTAGGGTCCTCAGATTTTACACTACCCACTAACCGTTTCCTGGTAACGGATTATAACATAGGAACTGTAACACTCTCACTGAAGTACACACTCCAAATATCACTGTATTGCAGCACACATAGTATCTTCTCTTCACAGCTTCCCATATAGAACTGACCGCCAACTGTCAACTCCGGAACTCGACTGACCCTGCTTTTAACGTTTCGGCTCCAACCACATAGAACACACTGTTATCATACGTGTAGTTATAGTCCAACAACACCTGGAGGCGTGTCTGTTGCCGCGGGAGCCCGTGTACCGAGCAGTTCACAGATTCACCGCTCAGCAATGGGTCTATACGCCACAGCATTTGTGTCTTTGTGCGTGTCGGTCAAATGCGTTATCAAACCGCCCTCCTGTATCATGCTGCATAGACTACACGTGTGACTACGCAGTTTGACAAGTTGCCGCTCTCTCGCGGCGGTTAGTATCTCCGTGTTTTCACTGTGTTGCTGACACAGCACACGTAAGAAGGTGATGTAGCCCTTGCACTTATTTAAGCACCATACAATAACATGGATTGCGGAGTGGAAATACATTTTGAAAGCATTAAAACTTATCCTGATATGTACTCCTAGATATTCCAAGCTATTCCTTTCCTTCGATTATGCTTATCAAAACAATGTCTACACTCTTTTCCAACCCTTGCGTTCCACATGCCCCGCCAACCTCATCCTACTTCATACCGTCATCCTAATAATGTTTGGAGAGGGGCACTAAATTCCGAAGCTCCCCATTATGTAGTTTTCTCTAACCTCCTCTCACTTTATCTCTCTTCGGTCCAAATATTCTCCTCAACACCCTGTTCTCAAACACCCTCAGTCTATGTTCCTCTCTTAATATCAGAGAACAAGTTTCACACCCCTACAGAACCAGAGGCAAAATTATAGGTTTTTTTTTTTTATATTTCAATTTTTATGTTTTTAAACAGCAGACGAGAAGACAAAAGGTTCTGGACTGAATGGTAGCAAGCATTACCTGCGTTCAGTCTCCTCTTAATTTCCTCCTTGACCAGGTTTTCATTTGTTACAGTCGTTCTCAAATATCTGCACTTACCACATTTTCAAAACTTATGTTACCTGTATTCATGTCATGATTTTGTCCTGTATTCTTGTGAAGAGACATTTACATATACCCAGTGGTCTCTGCGTTTACTTCTACGTCAGTCTCCATAGCAGCGTAGGCTGTGTCTGTGTTTTCCTTATTGGTTGAGGCACTATGCTACAAGCCGGAAGGTAGCGGGTTCACTTCCCGACGAGATCACTGAATTTTTCAATTGACCTACTCCTCCCAGACGCACTATGGCCCTGGGGTCGACTCAGCCCCACCAACAGAAATGAGTACCAGAAAACTTCCTGGGACTAAAGGGCGGCCGGCGCATAAGGCTGACAACCTCACCGCCATCTGTGAGCCGACTGTCTATAAAATGTTGGACATGTCACAACCCTATGGACCTTCACGGCCTGTTACAGGGATAGCTTAACCATTTTACTCTGATGAACTTTCCGCCCCGACGATTATGTTTACTGTCAGGCACGGATTTCACTTTCACTCCGATAAACAAGCCTCGTCGGGTTTCACGCACAAAATGACTAGCTGTTGTTTGCGTGGGTGTGGAATTTGATATCTCGCTCCGACAGAGCAAGCGAACGGGGACAGCTTCAGGGTAGGGCTCGAGGAGAATCTGATCTCAGAAAGAGGAAGTTAACAGGACAACGGGAATAATTGCATACATAATTAGGATCTCTATAATTTATTTACTTCTAGTATTCACTAACTCCCATCACGGTGGACGTGCGGTGTAAGACATGAACTGTTTTCACTTGCTCGAATACTGGGATTGAGGGTTCGAATCCCACCCAAGGCATGGATGTTTGCGTTTATTCTGTGTTTGTGCTGTCCTGTGTAGGTTGCGACCTTGTGTCAGCCAAACCCCCCATCCAAGGAGTATAAGATTAAGAAACTGAAGTGAAACGAAGCGTTTGACGGATGCCCTCTGCTCCAAGTGGGAGCAACAGATAGATAGTATTCACTGGACTTTATAGAGGCAATACAGCCAAGGAGGTTAAGGTGGGCATAACATGCAGCAAGTACAGGAAATATTAAAAAAGAAGGCAACATTTTAGCCAGAAAATCTAGGCAAACGGGACCAATTCGCGTAGATAGGATTATAATATTAAAATTGATCTTAGGAAATAGAGTGTGAGGCTGTGAATTGGATTCACATGGCTCAGAATAGAGTCCGGTGGCTTACTCTAATGAACATAGCAATGAAACTTAGTATTCCATAGAAGATGACGAACTTCTTGACGATTTGATTGAATATAAGTTTCTCTTGCAGAGCACAACAGTTCCGTCGTAGCCCTAACAGAATACAGATGACAGTACGACAGAGGTAGTAATTATGTTATTCAACGAATTTATAAACTGCAAGAGAAGGGCCGCGCCATAGCTCAAGCGGTTAGTCGCTGGTTTCCCACCGCGGCGTCCCGAGTTCGATCCCGGGGTCTGGTCAAGTGGGATTTGTGGTGGACAAAGTGGCGCTCAGGCAGGTTTTCTCCGAGTACTTCGGTTTTCCCTGCTAATCTTCGTTCCAACAATTGCTCCACAATCACCCTCACCTATCATCTGGGGCTGGTACAATAGGCCAGAAGTGGCCGCAGTACAAGGGACTTAGTCCCACCCCACTAGGAATAAAAAAAACTGCAAGAGGAACAGCGAACCCGGGCTGTTAGGAACACTACCTGGCTAGAATAAACTTGCTTCACTCTGAACGTAGCCAGTCAGGGACGAAACCTTCAAGTTATAAACTGAGGATATGATAATGTGCTGCCTGGCAAGGTTACTAGGGTAACACCGAAGAAACTTGCAGAAAATCCGGCTGTAGCGTCACGAATCCCACATAATGAATGTATCAGGGGTGGGCCTTCTTGGCTCTTGCACCGCCTTGATCCCACATAGAGTCACCCGGGATTGAACCCGCGGCTCTGAGGTGAGAGGCCTAGCGCCTGACTGACGGCGCTGTAGTCCGAGCTTCCACTACCTGTCGGCTTTGATTAATAAAACAGCTGCACACGGGGATGTGGGTCAGTGACGTCACAGAGCGACTGCCTTTCTAAAGCCACAGGCCAGGAGAGCAGCAGCTGTAGTGACGGACAACAGACAGCGGTGTGCGTGTCTGCAGCGCTGAGGCTCGGTGGCGGACGTTATAACAATGCTGTGTCAATTCAGCTTGCTCTGTGATCGTATTGTGTTCTGTGACTTTTAGAAACCTCAGTCAGCTGCTGAGGTCTTGAGGCGTCAGCATGATAATAAGTGGTAAGTAAAGTATATCTAAAGCGACATTGCTTCAAGAACCGAAGTTCTGTAAAGTTGAAATTTAAGATGATAATGAACTGAGTAAACATATACAGGTGTCCCAAGAGGAAAGGTCAATATTCTAGGAGCTCATAGTATCGGTCATCGTAAGCAAATATTTATAGGTACATGTGTCCTATTCCGAACATTTACCGAGATGGAGCTATTTCACTGTACAGACGAGCAACACGCCATGTCCTCACACGAGCTGCAAAGTGCATTGACGGTGAAATTTTCGAAAATGTATTGCACTAGGTAAACTGTACCAACTTTGTCACTTGAACAATAAGTACTATTAGAAAAGTAAGCCGGTGACGGTAGCCGAGCGGTCTAAGGCATGTACTGTCTTCGCTCGCTTGGAAACCGGGATCGTGGGTTCGAATCCCACTCAGGGCATTGATGTTTAGTTTGTGTGTGTGCGTTTTTTTGTGTTCGTGTACAGGTAGAGGCCTTGCGACGAGCTGATCACCCGCCCAAGGAGTCCTACCGAATGTGTAAGATCTAGAAAAACGGAAGTGAACGGAGAAGTTCATGGAGGTAGGCCTAGGCCCACTGGGGCTGTAGTGCCAAGGAAAAAAAAAATTAGAAAAATAAGTAATATTTCTTTCTTATCAGCAGTTTTGGAACTGTACAGTGGATTATCTCTATCTCGGAAACCGTTCGGAATAGGCCACATGCACGTATATATTTTACTGCTTAGAATGACCGATACTATGACCTCCCAGAATACTGGCCTTTCCGGTATAACCGTAGCGTAGCGTCACGTAACTTCCAGCATCATCTGCAAGGGCGGAAGTGAGCGACGGTTTATTCATTTCCAGTTTACTGAGCAATGTTTTAGGGACCCTAATTGGATGATAGGATGAATTGTGATTAAGAAATTGAAAAGAATGTGGAACGAAGTGATCGTGGCCTACTTTGGGACTATCTCGGTGTTTGTATTGAAGGAACTGGTCCGTCTATCGGCCGAGATTCGAACTCGAATAGAAGTCACAATCTTCACGCTTCAAGCAACTCACTCCGGCCAGCCTCTTGTCGAATAGGTGGGTAACTGTGGTTATGTTCCCAGGGATAAAGAGGTCGAATCGTGAAGCTGGCAACCAAGCTCTATATAATTTCGAAGTTAAGACTACGAGGAGCTACACCTCCTCCACTCCTTGTACGTCTTAATGTGACGATGCAAGTCATGACAGCTTGGCCCAGGTGACATTCAGCGTCTGCATTACACGATGCATTTCCCGCTGGTGTACGCAGGCAATCTCACTGTAGGGACTCTCTGTATGCAACCGGTGAAGCTCCGTGTTACGTGCCGGTACGTCACCACGTGAGCTAACCCATCCATATGGCACATGGAGTCGACGCAGTTTTATTTATTTAATTAATAACATATTTACAATGTACTCTCGATAATATGGAGTAATAAGTAAATTTGTTCTAAATAGGCGTCTTGAGTAGAGAAGACATCCACTGATGATACTCTGGCAGGCCCTGTAGAGGAATGGTGATGCTTTTAATCTTCGTCATCTGCGGGTTGCAGTAGGTCAGACCGCCACAGCCTCCTCAATCTTCTTACATTTCGTGGGTTGCTAATTTCTGCAGCTAGTCTGTTGCTGTGTCCGAGTGTGCTCTGATGGTAGAGTGCTGACAGTCTGTGTATTTCTTCTGTGATAAATTGATTTGCAGATCACCGTGGATAGTAAAGCTGAAGACATACCGAGGTGCTTTAGTTACTGAGCGCAAGAATTTTTATTGAAGCCTTTGAATTATTTTTGCGTTTGATGGTTTTGTACAGCCCCATAGCTGTATACCATATGTCCATGTGGATTTTATTATACATATTATATATAGAAATTTGTTTTCTATAAATAGTTTGGATTTACGGCCCAAAAGCCAGGACATTTCTCGTAGTTTTAAATTTAACCTGCGGCCAAGTTATGCGTTTCGGAGTGAATGTAACTTGCACTGATTTTGTCCGGTTTATTTTGATTTTCCCTTTGCTGTGCCGTTACTGGAGGAAGTTTAAGTGATGCTCAAGCTGCTGTGATGCTACTACTGGATCATCATTTGCTGCTAGCAGGGCTGTGTCACCCGCGAAGGTTGCGATAGTAGTGCTGTTTGTTATGGGCAAGTCTGCAGTATAGATTAAATATAGCAGAGGCCCCATCACGCTTCCTTGGGGTACACCTGATTTCCCCTGGTAGCAATCTGAATATGAATTATTATATTTTATTTGAACGTGCCTTTCAGTGATGTATGACTTTAAAAGTATGTAGTATGGGCTGGGCAATGCATTTTTGACTTTATACAGTGGCCAGTGCGCCTGGCCTCTTCAGACGCCTGAGCTACGTCAAGGCAAATTTCTGTACACAATGTTTTCCCTTCGAGACTTGTTGCGATCTTCTTTACGGTTCTATTGCGTTTTTTTTTTGTATTGTGGACTGTCCTCGAGTCCAAATTGGTAATCGGGAATAACAGTTGAGAGGTCTATGTCCTTTCTACTTCTCTTCAATAGCAACTTTTCAAAAAGCTTCGATGTGATGGGCACCACACTAATCGGCCGATAAGAATTTACTTCATTGGCTGGTTTCCCAGGTTTAGATACAATATCATTATGATTGGACGAATTTCCACATAATCGGGTAGTACGACGTTGAGCATGCTGTTATAGATGCCTGCTAGCAATAGTATTGCTTTTCTTGGTTATTGGCTGAGTATTTTCCTGTGATAAGGTCATAACCGGGTGCTTTGTGCGGATTCATGTTCTTAATTTCTTGTACCACTTCTCTGGGTGAGAAGGGTTTGATAGGTAACGGCACTGGTCATGGTATTTCCAGGAAGTCTTCAATTAAGCTGTCGTTTTGATTTATGTTAGAATGTGGTGCAAATACCTGTTCAAGATGTTCCGCGAACGTTGTGGCTTTTTCACTGTCGGTTTTTGCTCAGCTTCTGTCCGATTTTCTTATCGGCGGTATTGATGTTTGGGGTTGCCTTTCAGACTGTGTGGTCACCTTAGAGAGAGGCGCGATGTAGTGTTCAAATGTTTCATTCCTCGTGTTTGTTAAGGCGTTATGTAGTTTTCGCCTTAGTCTTCTATAAATAAGCCTTTCATCATTATTTCTTGATTTCTGCCATCTACTTCGTGCTCTGCGATTTTCGGTTACCAGCTCACGTATATGGAAAGGGATACTATTTATTTTCTTTCTTCCTTCCTTTGGGGTGGGTGTTGAGTACCGGGCTGCTTCCTGTACTAAGGCGGTAAAATACTGAGTCACCTCGTCCAGTTTGTTCGGTTCTTTTGTTCTTAAGTTCAAGTTTATGTGTTCTTCTGTGCATGTACGAAAGCTGTCCCAATTTGTTTTGTGAAAGTGCTGGAGTAGTTGATTTACTCATCACATATGCGCTCATAGTTGCAATTACCGGAGAATGGTCCGACGATAGCTCGAAGCTGCATCCAACTTGCATGTAGTTTGTCGTTATGCCGTGGAGTATAGAGAAGTCCAACAGTTCTGCCAACTTATTTGGGTCTGATAGCCAGTACGTCGGTTCACCGATGCTGAGATATTTACAGTTTTGTCAATTTATGGCGTGTAAGAGATTTCGTCCTTTTTGTGTTATCAGTCTCGCTCCCCATTCTTTATGTTTATCGTCTAAGTCTTCACCTGTCAGTAATTTAGATCCCAGTGAATGGAAGAAGCGCTATGTCCTATTCGGCAGATATAGCTTGCCTGGGATCGCGGAGATTGTAAAAGGCCATGGGTTAGCATCAACTTGAACACTGGCAGGTTCTATTTTGTCTGACTGGTGGTGCAGTAGTTCATGGTGAGTGATTGCACTTCGAATTATAACAGCTGTACCCCCATGGGCAGTGCCTTCTGAGTGAACATTGTAGACTTTATAGTATGGTATTTTGAACATTGTTCTAGTAGTGAAGTGTGTCTCTGATATTAATGCAATATCAATTTTGTGTATTTGTAGAAAGCTTTGCAGTTCTGGTTTGTGGTTTGACACCCCATTGACATTCCAGAGTAAAATTCGTTGCGAATTTTCCATTATTGCACGATTTTGTTTACAAGAGTTCTTAGCATGTTTAGTACCATGCTGTTTTGATTGAGTAGTTGGTTGATCATAGCTTTGAATTCATGTAAGAAGGTTGAGAGCTGCTCTGATATGTTGGGTGACTGCAGGCTTTGTGTGAGTACTGGGGGATAGTGAGCTGTTGATTTGCTGGAGTTGGGACCGGAGGTTGATTGTGGTTTAAAGGAGGAAATCGGTTATTATTGTTGATGTTAATATTTGTGTTATGTAATTGAATTGTTGTTTTGCTTCTTGCTTTTTGTCAGTTTTTATATATGTCACAACCTTTGTACTTGGCTGAGCGGTTCCCTCCGCTTAGGGCGCATTTTTCTGAAGCATTTGCGTTCTTTTTACACGGGGTTGTGTTGTGTTCGCCTCCACATTTAACACAAGTATACGGTCTTGCGCATTATGTTGCTGTATGCCCGTAGCACTGATATATCGTGCACTGCACAATGTCGTTTTCCTTTCTTGGGGCTTCGACTGTTATTTTCATATTGCGTAAGTATTTAATTTCATATATGCTCTTATTGTTTTCTTTAGTTTCTTGGTCTATGAAGAATAAAGGCAGTGAGTGATTCGTTTGTTTGACGATGCCTGACGTCTAGTGTATTGCGGACAGTATGACCTTCTTTTTCTAGTTCCTGTTTTATTTCATTCGTGGTTACTGAGTGATGGAGATTTAGTATTACTACGCTATAGGCCCTTTCTTCTTTCATCTGGTATGTATGATGTACTATTCTTTCTTCCTGGAGCTGTCTAATTTTCAATAGGATTCTGATGTGGTCACATTGATTTTTATCGTTTCATTTGAGAGTGCTTTGCAGTAAGACTGTTCTTCTTCTATTGTAGCTAGGTGTTTTATCATTTCGCGGTAGTTTCTTACC